GGGGATGATGCGGGCTGCTCGGCCCATGCGGACGCCACCTTTCATCTTCTCCCTGGCAAGCTTTTTCTTCTCCATCTCCTTTCCCTTCCCCATTTTCGGTAAACAGATATAGACCCCTGTCCTTGATATGGTCCTTCTTATGTATTCCTGCTCCCTCCTTCCTTCTCCCTCATCATCTGTCCTTTCTCAGGTTACCTGCTACACTTCTCTTGCCGCTTCCCATTCTTCCTGTGATTGTCTCCTTCTTCTTTGTACTTCCCTTCTTCTTGTGCTTCCCCGTAGTATTGGCATTATCATTGTCGTTCTCTCGTCTTTCCCACACTCCAGCACTTACTCCTGGTACTACTCGTGCGATGTGCTCGCATCCTCGTGCGCCCCATCATCCCTCCCCTGCTCCTCCTGCTGCTTCTGCCCCCCCTTCCGAGCACAGCCACCGGCATACTTCTCTCTACCAGCGCCTCAGGCAACACCATCATCACTCCGACTCCAGCTCCTTGGCTGGCTCCGATTCCGCCTCCGTTTCACCTGGCGCATGCGCCGAAGCCGCCACCAACCCCGGCGCCAACGCCGGTTCCCACTCCAGCTCCTCCAATTCCGTCTCCAACCCCAGCTCTGGCGCCAGTGCGGCGCGGCGAAGCAGAATTCAATGCAAAGCCCGGGTGCGGGATGTTGCGCAGTTGGATTCCTGGGCGTTCCGGTACAGCGGTACCCGTCCCCAGCCACCCCTCGGCCTCCACGTGCTACGTCTATTTGTACTCCCACCTGTTCTTCTACCTACTACTTGTGAGTGCCCGCGCCGCTTCTTCATTCCTTTCCTTCCCCTCCCCCCCTCTCTGCCGCTGCTGCCGTCGTCTCCTCTCCGTGGCGTCGCCCGCGCGCGGCGCCTTCGGCCCGAGCTAAGGTTCAGGCGAAGGTCCGTGGCCCGCGCCGCTTGACGCAGACCATAGGTCTGGGAGCACGCCGTAGGTCAGCTGGGCGCCCGGACTCGGCGGAGTCGGTTGGCGATGACCCGCAAGGCTTTGCTCAGTTTTCATTCTCCTCCTCCTCCTCCTCCTCTTCCCCGTTTCTCCACCCCGTCTCACCGATACGATGTGGGGGATTTTCGTGTCGCACGATTTCGCTTAGTGACCGTTCTCCTAAGCAGTGGCGAGAACCAGCGTGCTGGTTCCGTTTGTGCTGAATTGTTGTCCTGCATATTCCGTGCTTTGCTCTGTCGGGTTCATCCCAAAGCCCCCTGGAGGGGATGCGGATTACGCTTCACGGTTTAAAAATGTTGTCTGCGTTTGTCTGTCAAGGGGGGCAGGTTTTGTCCGCCCTGGCCGACGCGTGCGGCAGGCAACGTGGTTGAATCAATCGGCGTCGCGATGGGGGAACAAAAACACCATATATTCTTCCCCACCCGATGCTCATGCTCAGTCTCATTCTCCTCCTCTTACATTCGACTCATTCCTCTAGTGTCCTATTTCTCATCCTGACCCCAGTCGATTTGCTCTTTTTGCGTCTCCTCCACCACCCCTGTGGCCCTACGACGTCCCAGGCCAATGGGGCCCCTGACTGCACGTACAGCGTTTGGCCGGCGGGCGAGATCATGCTGGACGACCTCTCAGGCATCGTGCCGGGATCTTAAAGTGCTCGTGCACTTGCTGTTTCAGTCCGTCGGTGCGGGTCGGTGGTCCAAGCGGCTGCAAGGGAACTTCTCCACCGAGCTCCATCGATTTCGGGATGTTGACGCCCGCGTTTGGGGGTCAGGCGCCGATCTCCGATACAGTCAAGACGCTGACACAAGAACCGCTTTGGGTTCGGAAGGGGGCTCGCTGTTTCTTACGGCATCCCGTGGTTGTTCTTCTACGAAGCAATCCTCGTGCACCCAGGCTCTTTCGGTGCGCTCCGTATCCAGCGTCCCTCAGCTTGACTGTAGATTCAGGCCTTTGGAGGAGCTGGAGCCCGGTGTGCTCTCCTGTCTGTTGCCGCTCCGACGCCGCAGACGTCGAGGGTGTTCGCATGCTTCACGTGTCCCCATCAGCCCATCCAGGAACGAGTGCCCAAGCGAGTTGCCGAGGGACCGAAGTAGAGAACAAGATGGGGCATTCAAGAAAGGGCCTCGCTTTCGATGGTATCGTTGGTGTCCCGTCGGTGTATCGCCCTGGCCTTGTCGGTGTCCCGTTGGTGTCCCGTTGGTATCCTGTCAGCGTCGCGTCGCTTTCCTATGCCTTTTCGGTGTCCTGGTGTTTTTTTGATGGTGGCCTCGATGGCGTTTCCCATGGTGTTTCCATGGTACGATTGTGGCCCGATCGTGTCTGGGTGGTTTCCAGTGAGATCCATAATGGGTTCGGGGGGCGGTTCGAAGTGAACTGGAGACGGCGACCACCCATCGCAGCGCAGCCCGCTGTCATCACTATCGCTGGCACCACCACTGTCACCGCAGCTTTTTGGCTCAAGCAAGCACTTTGTGCGACCCGCGCCTCCGCGCTGCCGAGACCGCGGGCGGCGCGTGCCTCTTCGCCTGCGCCTCCCCGCCGCCAGGCTCTGCCAGCGACTCGCCGCCAGGCTCTGCCAGCGGCGTCTTTTTGTTCCGCCGGCCCAGCGCATCGATGACAGGGGGTCGCGCAGGGAGGCCCAGCGCTTCGGGTAACTATTCTGAGGACTCCTGGAGCGGGCTTCGTAGATCTCTCTCCAGACCGCGCCATGTCGGGCGAGCAGTTCTACGAGGCTGTGGGCGAGGAGCCCAAGGTGAAACGCGCGGGTTGGCAACGGGGCAGAAACTCCCAGTGCGACGCGGACAACCGCTACACGCTGCAGAATGTGCTGGTCTATTTGACGGGGTATTCTATTCGGGCGTACCTTTAGAGTTCGAGCTCGCCCGCAATTGGCGCGTGAAGGCGCTGGCGAAACGAACGCGGGCGGGCGCGGTTTGCTTCCACGGCCCGCCGCAGGGCATGGGGGCAGAGGCCTGGCGCAGCCCGCTGCGCGTCGTTCGCGGCGGGGGGGCCCCCACCAGATCGCGCGCGCGCTGGCCAGGGAGGGGGCGGAGGTGCCCGGAGACCTGCAGCCAGAGCGGCCGCGCGCGATTCCCCGCAGCCGTTCTGAGGGCCCCCTCCAAACAGGGGCCTGGGCGCCGCCGCGCCGACCGCGGCGATCCCGGCGCAGGAGCCAGACTCTGCCAGCTCTGGCCTGGTCTTCCCGCATCCGTGCAGAAGCGAAGCGCGCCTTCCCCGACCCAGACCTCGCCTCCTGCGGCCAAGCCGTCGGCGCCTTCCCCAGCACAGGCTTCGCCCCCCGAAAGCCGTCGGCGCCGACTCTGGCCCATGCTTCGCATCCCGCGGCGAAGCCGCTGGCGCTGAGCCTGGCCCGCGCCTCGTCTCCGGCGGCGAAGCCGTCGCCGACGCAGGCTCCCAGGCTCTGCCAGCCCGCCGCGGCCGCGGAGTCTGGCGCCGGTCGGGTCGCCGACTCCGCCACCATTGAAGACTTGCGATTTGGATGTTTGCAGGGTTCGCCGCCTGCGGTTCCGTCGGCTCGGCTCCGCCCCTGAGAAGCTCGTGGAGGTCGACATTCTGGCGTCGGGCGACTCACCCGCTCAGCCGGCTTTTGGGCCAGGTTTGCCAGCCCAGAAAAGGCAGCGTCGAGCTCGAGAAGGGGACTCCCGCGGGGGAGAGCGACGCCCTTGATTGGAGTGGCATAGAGGACTCTCGCGGTTGCAAACCCGCCGCGGAGGTGCGGGGCGAACGCGATGGAGGACCACGCAAATTCGATGACCTGCTCAACCAGATGGATTCCCGCGAGGTTCAGGACACCGCCCCGATCTTCAAAGCCGAGAAGGCCCCCAAGAGCGGCACGGCCAATATCTACTTCAAGTGCAGGCAGGGACCACCAGATCCGCGAGACCATCGTGGCCGTCTTCAACAATGCCAAACAGCCAGCATGCACAGGCCCTGCCCCAGCAATATTCATCGAGGACGAACTGGCTCCATGGATGGACGCTCGGATGTACGAAGACATATGAGTGTTGTCGCCGAGCGCGACGTGGGGCCAGGCGCCATGGGGACGAATGGCTCCACTGTTGAAAATTGATGACGGTTCGCGTAATTATCACCACTCGCTCGCGCGTAGCCCGCTCGACCTTTTCGGACTCCTCCTGCGCTTTCGCTGGCGGCCGCGACAAGGAATAAGTAATTATCACCACCAGCCCATCCAGAAACGATGCCCAGGGTAGTTGTGAGGTGATCAGGGAAATGGGGGAGCATGCAAAAGGACAAAGGCGGGGGAAGGCGTCATATACCCCACGGGGGGGAGGATGCAGGAGGAATCGTCGTCGTCATCGTCGTCGTCGTCGTCGGAGGAGGAGGAGGAGGAGGAGGAGCAGGGCGAGGACGAGGAGGAGGAGGAGGAGGAGGAAAAGGAGGAGAAGGAGAAGACTGAGGGAGAGTTGGGTACCTCGGAGATCCTCTTGAGGTCTCGTACGTGGTTTCTTGGGAGCCTGGCGGCCTCTTGGGGCCGTCTGGGCGCCTCTTGGGGCCCTCTTGGGGCGCTCTTGGGAGCTTCAAGGGCGCCTTTGGGGCCATCTTGGAGGGCATCGGTCAACAAAAAGAGGGGGCTTTAATGAGGGCCCCCCCTCGGGGACCCAAAACATCGTGTCTTGGACCCCTCTTGGAACGCTCTTGGGCGCTCTTGGGGCCGTCTTGGGGTTCTTTCGGGCCTCTCCGGGGGCCCTTCTTGGGCCATTTTGAAACCATCTCGAGGCCTCGGATGGCCATCGGAAGCGAACAGAGGCGAAACAGCACAACACAGGGTTGCCCTTCGGTTTTTGAAGGGCATTGGCCTGTGGGGGGGTCTCCTGGGAGGTTTCGGAAGCTTCTGGGAGCCGTCTTGCGCGTTCTTAGGGTTTCGTGGAACATCTTGAAAGTGCTCGTGTCTCCACGTGTGTGCTTGCAACTCGTGGTTGCGATCGTCGCTTTATCGCCGCACAACATGAAAATGGTGTGGGCTCAACTCGCCACCACTTGCCGTTCGAGCAAATTTGCGCACAAAGCTTGCTGCTGGGATCCGATGGCGAAGCGTCGCCCCCGCGGCGACGGTGGGCCGACACGATGCGCGTGTCAGGCGCTCCTGTGCCACCGCCGTCCTCCACAGGAGGCGCTTCGGGCTCCCTCCTCCCTCCTCCCCCCTCCCTCTCCTCCTCCCTTCTCCCTCTCCCGTCCCTCCTCCCCAGTTCCCCCCTCCTCTTCCCCTCCTATTCCCTTACCCCCCGTCCGTCCCTCCCCTCCCTCCCCCTTCCCTGGTCCCGCCTTCCTTTTGCCTTCCCCCCCCTCCGTTCCTGGTCCCTCGCCCCTGCCTCTTGGAGCCCACCCGGCGCTCAGACGATGACCTCTAATTTTTGGAGCCTTCAGGACTACTAGCGAGCGTTACGTTTCATCGCCAGCCCGCTCCAATTCGCGGGTTGCAAACATGAAAACTTATCCGTATCCGCGTCTTCGCGGGAAGGGGCCCCCATCCCGCGGATATGGTGCGTTTTTTAACGAATGCCCCACGCAGGACGTATCCGTGCGACCGCGTATCCACTGGATCGAGCCCGAGAGTCCAGACCGCACCGCGAGGGTGTGGATGTGGATACGTCTGAAGCTCGTGATCAATGGCCCCGCCCCGTCCCCCTCCCCCGCCAGAGAGGAATCGACGACTACCAGGACTGGTGGAACGTCTCCTACTACCGGTGCATCGACGAGGGTGGGACCGACTGCGCTCAGAACAAGGAAGCCAGTGCCACGGGGGGGAGAAGGAGGATGAGGAGGAGGAGGAGAAGGAGGAGGAGGAGAAGGAGGAGGAGGAGGAGGAGGAGCTGGAGCTGGAGGGCGAGGAGGCGCAGGAGGAGGACAAGAACTGAGGAGGAGGAGGAGGAGGAAGAGAAGGAGCTGGAGGACCAGGAGGACGAGGAGCTGGAGACGGAGGAGGAGGAGGAGGAGGACGTGGAGTGCAGTGCTTGACGCCTCGAGTCACGGGAGGAGCATCGACGGACGCAGCGGACCGAACGAACGACTACCGCTGCGGACAAGTGTCTGGGCCTAGCTAGCTTCAGACCAGATGGGTGAGGCCGTGGCCTCTGGATTCTGGCGTGTCTGGACATTTGGGCGGTCTGGAGGTCTGGTGTGGTCCACCACTGGTTCTGACCAGCAGGAGGCGCGGGAAGAGATTCGAGGTTCGGGGTAACGGGGAGGTGTTTGGCCCTTCACGGCCTCTGGGGGCATGTTTCGCACCCCGGGCCAGTGAAAACTGATCCAGGGAAACGCATCACGTACATGAGACACACTTGGAGGTGAGAAGGATGTCCGAAACGTTGTTTGGTTCCCCCTCTCAGTGCCGAGGCTGCCCTTGGAGCTCTCGAGGTCCTCGTAGGTGTCCTCCAGGGAGCAGAGGCCCTCAGGGGTTCCCTTGAATATCCAACAGCAGCAACCGAGAGAACGTGCACACGTAATGCTTCAGCACACATGTCACAACAAGTGCATAGTATATAATCGCTGTGGACCCACGAGCGTGTGCGCCGTCGGGCGACGGATTGAGCGCTAGCCTAACCGGGGGCTTCCTGGGCCGTCTCGGCCTGTCGGAAGGCCGAAAAGTAGCCAATACAAAAATCCTTCAAACACCTAAGGAAATCGATGACCTTTGCCTCTTCAGGCATTCCTGCATGCCTGTGGGAGGCCTCTTGGGCCGTCTCGGAGGCTCCTTGGGGGCCTCTTGGGCCGTCTTCTGTCATCTTGAGGCCATCTTCGACCGTCTTGGAGAACATCGTGGGCCGTCTTTGAGGCATCCTGGGGCCATCTTCGCCGTCTTGGAGGCCATCTTGGACCATCTTGGGCGAGCTTGGAGGCCACCTTGGGCCATCTTGGCTGTCTTGGAGGCGATTGGGCAAATTTTTGTCGGCGGATCGTGCGGCCTTCGGGTGGCTGGCGGCATGCGCCGAAGCCCCAGGGGGATTTCTTCTGGAAAAGAACCCAAACCAAGAATGCTAGGGTCTAGCACGCCGGGCACAATATTAGCCGGCCGCTCCGCGGTTGATCGGGAGTTTCTGTACATGAAGAAGGGGCGTGCGCTGATGTACGAGAGGAGAATGATCGAGAGGAACATGAGCGTGAGGATCAGGAGGGCGAGGTTCGCGAGAGAGGATCAGGAGAGTGATGGTCACGCGGGTGAGGATAAATCGAGGGTGGAGCAGGTAGGCGACGGGCCTGACCTCATCGCGCGCCTTGCGGGGATGTCTCGAGCGACATGCTGGGACACGCCTGGTGCGCCCCGGCGAGCGCCCCAGAAATGGTACCTGCACGCGGTGGGGCCTGACCTCGCGCGCCGGGGGTCGACTTTGTGAGGATGTCTCGATCGAGAGCCCAGCTGGGACACACCCAGCGCGCCCCGGAAAGGGTCCATGGGGGCGCGGTGGGGCCTGACGTCCTCGCGCGCCTTGTGACGCTGTCTTGAGCAAGAGCCAGAGCCTGCGAGATGCGAGCGATGTGCCTTACATGCCCCATGCATGGAAGGGAGTGCACTACAGCTCTCATGAGCTCCCTCCCCCTCCTCCTCCTCCCCTTGCTCCTCCTCCCCCTCCTCCTCCTCCTCCTCCTCCTCCTCCTCCTCCTCCTCCTCCTCCTCCTCCTCCTCCTCCTCCTCCTCCTCCTCCTCCTCCCCCTCGTGTCCTCCCAATATGGAGCGATAGCGAAGGGAACCGGGAACCGGGAACGGAGAACAAGTAACAGGAAATGGATATCGGGAACTGGGAACTGGGAGCCTTGAACCGGGAACCGGGAACCGGGAACTAGGAATTGGGAACCGGGAGCCAGAAGACGGGATTCGGGAGCCGGGAACCGGGAACAGGGAACCCGAAATTTGGACTAGGGAGCCGGGAGCCGGAAACTAGGAGCCGCAACTTGGGAAGCAGGTGCGCAGGACCCGGGACATGTGTTTGCGAATTGGGAAGCCGGGAGAAGGAGACCGAATGAGAGTGATTACAGATATATACATATATACATATTTATAGGTAGTCATAAGTTCATATACGTAGGTACGCATATCTATATATAGTACACAAATGGAGAGAGATATAACAAAAACAAAGAGAGATAAAGAGAGACAGAGACACAGAAAGAGAGAGAGAGAGAGAGAGCGAGATGAACAATATGAATATACAGATATATACATACCCCTGGGATCCATAACGAGATCGATAAGGAGATCAACCGAGAACCCGGGAACCCGGAACCCACCGAAATGGCCCAGAACCAATGACCTGAAACCAGGGAACCCAGAACCGGGAACCCGGGAACCCAGCCTGCCACCAAAGTCGTCGGGAAATTTTCGCCACATTTCTCAATTCCGCTAGGACCCCTTCAGTGCAAGCGCTGATTGCCATGAAGCTGCGTCCCCCAAGCGGATTGGTGCAACGATTTTGTGTTTTCTCGAAGGAAAAATTATTAGATTTCCCAGTTTTTCGGTTTGTTTGTTCAGAAGTTGTTGCGTCGCCGACCCTCTCCGATATTGGGCATTCGGCGTGCGGCTTGCGCGCAATCTCGCTTCGACGCGTCATTCAAGCGGTGTCGCCCCTGGTCTGTTTCTGCCCCGTCTCTCTGCTACAATCTTTAATTGAAGTTCAGAATCGCATTTTCGGGGATCGTGGTGACCTCTTCGGGGGTCTTGCGCGCGTCGTGGGCCGTCTGGAAGCCATCGTGGGCGTCGCGGGCCGATCGTTCGACGACTCGGAGCCCTCTTGGACCGTCTCGGGCGCCTCTTGGGCCCTTTTGGATCGCCTTGGGGCGCCTGAAAGCCGCGCCCAGGAGAAAAACCATCCCTGGCCCGACCTGGCCGGGACACTTTGCGTCTGGGGGCCCCTCTGGGCCGCCCCGCGCGCGCGAGGAATGCTGCGAGACAGTCGCGGGAGATCTTCGCGCGCCTTTGGCCCGTTGGGCGGGCGAGCTTCCCCCGAGGAGCATGTCCAGTGCGCTATGGGGCGCGCGATGAACGGGCGGTCCAATTTCGACGGTTCCTTCTCTCCTCCTCTCCTGCTGCTGTTTCCCATTCTTTCCTTTTCCCGCTGCTGCTGCTGGCCTTCCTGCTGTTGCTGCCGCTCCCTCCTTTTTTTGCCCCCTTACCGTCGATGATGTTGCGCGGGCACGCCTGCTTCGCGTGCCGGCGCACCGGGCAGGCCCGCGATTCTGCGCCCACGATTTCGCCCATGAGTTCGTCAACACATGTCGCCCGCGATTTCGGACACGATTTTGCCTGCGATTTTCGGCCACGATTCCGCGCCCCCTTGCAAGGCCCCGCGAAACCATTTATGATGTTGAACACGATTTTGTCCTTGTTGATTTACTTATGAGAAAAATCGTGGTCCAAAAAGTGCGCATCCGCGGAAGGGAGGAAAAGTGTGCAAACTTGGGGCCAAAAAAGTGTCCACATCGTGGCCAAACGGGGAGGGGGAGCAGGGCGCCGCGGAAAGGCGGAGGGAGGGTCGGGGAGGGGGCCAGGGGCTTCCCCAGGGACCCCCGCTCGGTTGGAGAGGATGCCCTCGCGGCGGGCTGCGCTGCCTCGCGCGGCGGGTTCGCGATTGCGCCGCCGCGCCCGCGGCCGGCCGTTGAGGTTTCGAAACCGACGTTTGCCGTCAGGCCCTTCTTCTCCGCCACCAACGCAGCCGCGCGCTTTGCCCCCCTGGGACAGCGCCGGGGCCTCGCCGCGGTTGCGGCAGAGTCTGCGCCGGCGGCCCCCGCGCCCGCGGTGGGCCCCACGAGCGCAACTCCCCACAAGTGGAGTTTGCTCAACTCGCGCGGGCATGAGATCCAACCGCGTCCGGCGTCCCGCCAATTCCCCAGGCGGCGCTCGCGATCGAGCGTTTCTTCGTCATGCGGGTTCTCCAAAGTGGCCCTGTCTTGTGGTCCGTCGGTCCCGCGCCGGCGTGTTCCATCATAAACCAGCTTGGGAGGTGTTTCTCCCGCGCAAGCTATCGGCCGCGCGGCCGGGGCAGCACCTGGCCTTTCGACGGCTGCGCGCGCGGCGCGCGCCGCTTCCGTTTTCGTTTCGACGACTGCGCGCGCCCAAATCCGCGCGGGCGCTATGCCCGACGATTGCGGAATCAAACGTCATCGCTGCGATGAGTTCCATGGTGGTCACGTGGCGGCTTGTTTCGGGGGCCGCGTCGGTCGCGCTTCCGCGGCTCGCCTGGCGTGATTCAGTGGCGGGGGCAGGCGGCGAGCGGCCATTCGATGGCACGCGGGCGTTCCATGATGATTCCCCGCGGTCCACCTTGAGGAATGTAGCGTGTTGGAATTTTCCCCATTTTGAAATCGTTGCGGCTTCTTGCGGGGGGGGGCTCTGTTTGGCAATGATTGGGGAATATATAAATTGATATTTGAATGTCTATATATAGACATATTGTACATATTCAAAGAACCCAACACGTGCACACTATATGCATCTATGTATTTGTGAGTACACGCGTGCATTTAACACGCACAATGTATTGTAAATACAGGTTGACAAACGTGTACGTGCACGTATGTGTATTCATGTATGCATGTCGCTGTAGAGAGTGAGGTCGGTAGAGAGAACGAGAGGGAGAGGTGTAACAATGTATCTAGTTATATGGGCTACGTGTGTGCAGTGATTGATACGTGTGACATGTTATCAACGAGTGTTACTTTCATCTGGATTCAGCCATGCAGCCATTTCTGTCGCATGGAATGCTGACTCCAGTTTACACACATGTACAACAGCC